AGGCTCTGGTGGGCCTGGGGCACTTTAAGACGGGACAGGCTGAAGAGCTACAGTGCTAGCTTTGCCAGAGAGAAGGCTCCCCAGTCATGGAGCTGGACTGAGATGAAGCTTCCCATTCACAGCCTCCTCCTGGCCACTTTAAAATGTGCCAGGAGAGCAGCACCCACAGTCAGGAGTCACAGGTGAGACACAAGACCATGGTAGCAATTCCTTGTCCAGAACTGCTGTCCCACTAGAGGTCAAGGTGCTTCATCACTCACGGTTCAGGTGAATATTACTCTCTCCTCACATTTCATTTTCCTTCTACATGGGAGGAGAGAGTGTAGTTTGTTTTTCAGTTTCATTTTCTCCTTTTTCTTGAAGGGAACGCCATGCTGCCAAAAATACTCATGAACTGCTTCCTTGTTTGTATGATGGAGAAAATGGTTTATTTATTTTTCAGTTACATCCGAATTAAATGACAGCAAAGATGGTGGGGTTGAGAGCCTGGGGCCCTGTTCCCTCCCCGGTTCCGAAGTGCTCGAGGGCATCTGGAGTGTCTCCCAGACACCGCCCCCCCCACCCCCCCCCACCCCTGCCAGGGCTCAGAACACACACACATCATGTTTAGTTTGTGCCCCCTGCAGAGTCCAGACTTCAAGAGCTATTGAGACAGTGTCCACACCAGTGTGCAATCAAAGGCGGCTCCCAGCAGCCTTCCTGGCAGGCAGGGCCTGTGGGTTCTCCTCCAGGGACTGGCTGCCCTTCGGACTCCTCTGATCCAGCCAGTACCCGCTTCCCCGCCCCCTCAGCTCCAGGGAGCCACCCTCCCTGTGCTGATGGCTTGAGCTTCACCAAAGGCCAGACCTGAGGACCAATAACTAGTGACAAAAAATAGCTCCTTTAAAAGAGCACAGAAGCTCTGAAAGTCTCACTGCCTTCTATTGGCAGAGTAAAAAGCAAATTGGGTGGAGACCCTGGGAAAGATCATGGTGGGTCCTGGGCCTCTGCTTTCTCTACACGGGGAGCTGGGAGCTCTTGGCAAGACTGCCAGAGGGGTCAGCTTTGCCCGGGTTTCCCAGTAAAAGCAGACTGAAAATCCAAACCAGCTCTTCACTCAGGCCAGCTTGGGAGAGGAGGAGGGAAAAAGAAGGACCAGTGCCCTTAGGGTCCTTTCCAGACATTCTTCCCAGGAATACTCTGTGGCCGTGAAACTGTCACAGTGTTCAGTGCTTTCCTGATCTGTGGGCTCCCCTGTGTACATGCCCTAAGACAGTCAGACGCCATGAAAACAGTGTGGGGTTGATTAAGCAAAGACACATTCACTGACCACATGATCAGAAAATGTGAGGACCCAGGAATACACTGTTTAGACATCAGAAGCCAAGGAGATTTTTGTTTGCTTTAAAAGAGACTCTGTCTTGTGAAGGGGTAAGTGGGGGTTGGGGGGCG